TTAAATTTGTTTTAAATGTTCCAATTCCAATATTCAAATGGATGAAGACTTAAAACTACAATTAATTTAAATCAGATGTATTTATTTTCAATTCAAGCATCATGTCAGTTATAAAATGTTAATGCATTTTGGGGTCATTATTGTTAATTCCCAGTCAGAAAATTCTATTAAACAAACGAGACAATTTTAACAATTACTGAAATCTTTTTATAGACATAAAAAAAAAAATGTAATAATAATAATAATAACAAGATATTTAAAATTATTCATTATATGACAATTATAAAGGGAGAGAGTAATACAATGTCAGAATAATTCCTTAAAAATCTATTCCGAAGACGTATTTCAAATTCGGTATAAATTTTCTAAATCTGGATTTGTTCCTATTTTAAATCGTTTATTGTTGATGAAATTAAACATCAAAATGGAAAAGGATTGTGATTAATTAACTGCCGAACAACAATTGTTGATGGCCTTAAGATTTATGTTCTGGAAGCTTTCAGAATATAGCTTGTGACCTTATCGGAGTTTTTTCTGATGTCCTAAATGAAAAACCTGATTGGCTGAATGACTTATAAAAGAGGGGAGTAACAGCAAAGAAAGTAAGAGCCAATGTTTTGCCAAGGTTCTTTTAGACCAGGGATTGCCAAAGTGGTTGATATAACATTATTGGTGGGGTCAATGAAAACACGAAAACTTACAAATTTTAAACCGAATCTTGCTAAGAATTATCAAGCTTATCTGTCTCATTGATTGTCATTTACAAAAATTATTATTAACATATGTACTGTACAATAAATGAAAAAATGTATAAATGTAAATTAAAAGATATATATTAAAATACTAAGAGCTTTTTCTTTGCTTATAACACAAACTTTTTGGTGGGGGTTGATGTGAGGTTTCAAAAAGCTGTGGGGGGTTGACAATCAAAAATGTTTGGCAACTCCTGGTTTAGACGGTGTTCAGAAATAGACGACAGTCATCTTTGCAATGCATTTTAAACTGCAGTTCAGCCAGCCAATGTCTAGATGCCGTTAAACTTGTTAAACATTGTTTAACGTAAACCCCGTCTCTGCAATTGGCCAAATGAGTCTAAGCCATGCAGTTATACAGAATAACATGTAAAATTGTGAATGAGTCAGATTTGTCCTTTGATTTTTAGAGGAAAATTGGCTTGACGAGACTTGTCCATCAACTGAAAAGGACCATTTCAGGCCTAAATTTAAAGAATTGTCCTTAAATTTGATTGATAATTTGATATTAGTGATCAAAATATTCATAATTAGAATGCCAATGGAAGAGTGTACTGTACCTTAGAATGCAAATGATAAATGTATTTTAAACAAAATATTCCAGTGATGCAGATAACCAACAAATATTTTTGGCTAGATTTCCTCTTAGAATTTTAACTCCTCCTCTCAGTAATGCTAATGTTGAACAAATTTTTTCTGTAATGAATTTGGTTGAATAATTTGTAAGAAATAGGATGCAATTAAGAATGCCTCCTATATTTTACAGCCATACAAATTTTAAATATAATTGTGTACTATCAAAAAATGAAAAGAATATTAATTTTATTGTAACAAAGTACATAAGAAAAATATAGGTCTGTTATATGCTTTTAAGAAAACTGTAGGAAAGTATAAGAATATTTTTACAACTATTTTATAAATTAATTATTCTCTGTTAATTGAGCGAAGATCGTAATATTAAAGGTAAACAATCAATGAAATATCTGTAAAGGTATGCAGAATGTTTAAAATCCGTTTCTTGACCAAATTGAGCGTATTTTACGCAAAATAATATAATAAAACTTGTCGTAAAACTTGAATGTAGATAGATTTTTATCACAATAGCAATTAAGTTTGTTAAAGTATCACACAGACGGATCTAGAAGGGGAGCGATAGGGGCAATCACCTTCCGTAAAGTGTTTTTATTAGTTAACAGGAGCTTCGTTATTTCTTTAAAATAATATTTATATTTTTAATATTTAATTACTTTTTAATTTTGTTATATTTTTATGTTGTTTAAATTTACGTGATTTAATTATTTAAGCGATAAAAGTTGAGCGTAATTGTATTACGTGAATTAAAAGTCGTCCACGTAAAATTGGTTCCCGGATCCGTTTTTGATTTATTAATTATAAAATGCAAATAAAAAAATAAAAATAAACAAAGGTCACCGGAATAATTTTGTTTTAGAAAGTTCACGGAGTTGCTGTCTTTGTTATTATTGGATTACATTCAAGAATATAGAAATTTTTAAAAATTTCGTAACTGTACACTAAAAATGTTTTGTCATTTAGGTCGACGTCTTCAACTTCGTAAAACACTATTTTATTACGAATACGGTATTAAATTGATTGAATAATTATTCTAATTACTCTTCAGAATTTTTCTATTTTTTAGTTTTATAATGATATTTAGCCAAAACGGCTTAAATATCCAAGATATTTGCATGGAAAATTGGCCCGTTAAAATGCTTTTATAAAAAAGAGCGGGCCCGAGCTATAGGCGCACTAGGCAGTCGCTTAGGGCACAAAAGTTAGGGATTCCGCAGAAAACATCAGTTAAAAGAAAATATTTATCAATTATTTTAATTAGATATATTATGTATATATCAAGAACTGTCGCATGTAGATATGTAGGTTATTCAATACACAAGTCATCTATCAATAGTAGTAAAAGAGGAGGGCGCCAAAAACACTTGGGCCCTGTACTGTACATGACTATTTTAATACATTATTTCTAAAGTAACACGATTTTTAGTCATTCAAAAAAAATCATTTAATGTTCAGTAAATTAAATACTCACTAACTAGAACTAATAAGGATAAAGGTCCAAGTTAGCAAGGTGTTTTGTCTGGTGGAAAATGTGAAAGATACACAATACAGTAATTTATTATAACCAACTCTAGACAGAAATTTTACCGAGCTTTAGTTAGCTTATAGCTGCTGAATGTATTATAGGAAATGAGCTCAAGGAATCTCTTGACTACAGTATACAGAAACCTAGTCTAGTAACTTATCAACTACAGTAATATAATGCATGGTATAACAAAGACTTCTGGATATCGAAAACACTCGTTAATTTTTTTTGTCAAGAAATTTTAATTAGTAAAAATTTTCAAAAAATATGTCTGAGTTAGTGAGGTTTACTGTATTCATATATAAATAATTGTCTCAAACATTTAGTCATATTGCATTCTGAATTAAGTGTAGAAACTGCTGAGCTTGGAACACTTTCATTCTCTTCTTGTTTGACAAACCACTAACAATACTTTTCTATCATTGTTTTTGCTAAAATGAGAGAACTCCCATCTTTCCATATCAAGCACATAATAATTTACTACTCTTGAATCTACATGTGGGGAAAAATACATTTTTTGTTTTTATTTTAAAAAATGTTTCTAACTACATGGTCATGTATCTCAGAATATATCATATCCTCAGGTACAGTACCTTGAAACACTTCATTAATACAATAAAAAATATCAATGCATCAATTCCAAACAAAATTCCATTTGTCTGATACTTTTTATCATTTGCAGTAGCATCGTAAAGACAGTATTTCATGTACTGTACATTGGAGGGCCTATGATGGGTTCAGTGACCTTTTTCAAGACTTTCATATCTTTTATTGGTTTCTAGATTTACTGCTTGAAATTTCATCTGAAAATAAGGAACTTAATATTTTAAGACAGCAAATACAATGTGTCAAGTACAGGATACCGCTACATTTCAAGATACTTGAGAAGAAAAATCTTGTATGGTCATTAGAATTTTTATGTAAATGATCCTGAGAAAAGATATAATTAAGAAAAATCTGTTGCCTCTAATGTTGAAGCTTGAGAATAGCATTACATCTTAACCTTATCTAATCCATGAACTAATACCACCAAATTTTTCTCTCCGATGATGATGATGTTCTCAAGAAAATTAATTATGGGCATCAGATGTTACTAACAGTTAAAAACTTTTGACTATGTGTTTTCTGGGGGCATCTACTAAATTTGTCACCTACCTTTGATTACACAACCACCTGTAACATCACCAGATGTTTTGACTATTTCAATATATGCTACAATTAGTATTAATCACAAAAATTTTCTAAAGTACACTATGCTCAAGGTACAATAGTTTCCCTATATTTTAAATTCTTGAAATGAATCATCATCATCATCATTTACATTAGTTAAATTGCCCAAAATTTATTTTAATATAACAAAAGTCTTCATACAATTTTAAATTAAACATAATTAAATTATTTTTTGGAAAATTATATAACAAAAATCTCTAATTTATTTAGCTTACCTATTTATGTCATCTTATTAAAATTGAGACAGTTAGCTATACATTTAGAAATATTTTTCATATAATTATTATTGTCTTGGATTCAAATAACTACTTAATGCCAGACATTGAATAGATATTTAATTTAAACACAGAGATTTACTATTTTAGATACTATATATTCTTTAGTAAACATTTTGCTTATCGTTTGATTTTATAAATTTATTTAAGTTTCACAATAAAGTAAATAAATAAACTAGATGTGAGAAATTATAAATATATTATTAAAATTCTATTGAAAATAATTAAAATAAATAATATCCATGAATTATATTTCAATTGAAAACATATTACAGATTAGAATCAGCATTTATCAGAAAAATGAATGATAGAAGAATAATGATTCATGCAAAAGTATTTCTTAATAATTATCAAATATATTCTGAAAGAAAGGTCTAATTGTCAGATTCCATAGAAGATTATTTATAAGGAAAATGGTTATCTGGAATTTCCTTGTAATTAGAATGAATGTCTTTATCAAATTTGAATTCATTTTTTAGATAAAATACAATTTATGATCCAATATTAATTCAATATAGATTTTCTGAGTATCATCAATATATAGTTCATAATTTTACAACAGATTAATTAATTATTAAACTAAAATTTAAACTAAAATTGTATTACATTATTTTATTTCAATTTACACACAAATTGTTTTTAAAAAATTAAAAACAAAAATATAAATATACAAAAGCAAACAACAATGTTTCCTTTTACAAATAAATTTAATTACAAAATTCAAATAGATGACTGTTTTGAACTATAATATTTGACACCTTTTTCAGTTGAAGCCCTGGTATACTTTGTTAACAAAACATTTACATCTTGATTTGAAGTAGTTAAATCCCTGAAATAATTAATTTATTTATTAAAATATAAGAATTTTATAAAATATATAATGTAACTGGTTTATTATATTTGTTTAAATTAAATTTTAAATAACAATTTTACTTGATATATGGATAAATATTATCATATGTCCATTTACTTCGTGTCTTAAAAAGCTGGTAAAATCTGAAATACATAAAAAATAAAATTTAATAATTTCATAACAATTCCTATTCAAAATTCAACACTTTTTATTACCTTTCATTCACACTGTCTGGCAGATCAGAAACAGGATAAAAATATATGACATTTGGTTTTGATGTATAATCTGCCAGTGCAAGACCCTACTCAAATATGTAAGGTTGAATTAACATTTATCATATGAAAAACATAATAGTTAACAAAATAGATTATAAATTTATTCTATTTTTATTATTATATCATACATTAAATCTATCATAAGTGCAGTAACACATAAGACATAGTAAAAATTTAAAAACTAAACTAAATATTTATTGTTTAATAATTATATTGATTAAAATATTTTATATAAATTACATTTATAATAATAATTATATTTGATTTTACTTTTCCTATTATCTTTTTTAACTATGTATCTAGTCTAACAAAATTGTACATAAACATTGTACAAGTAATTTTGAAATTAATAAATAAATAATTCTGAAATTGAAAAATTATTCAAAACTAAATTAAATATATTTATACAGAATAATTATATGAACATAATACAGCAGAAACTTGATTACTGAAACATAGTCAAAACCATAATATGTAGCATTACAAATACTAGAGTATAATACACACAGACCATACTTTCCATGTAACTGGAAATTACTGTCATCTGTCAATTGTAGCATCTGGGTCATATATGTAAAATTATGCTAGATTTTAAGTAAATTGACTTCAAATGCAGTAATTTCTGAATGCATAACTGGTTAATTGATATTTAATGAATTATATACAATGCTCATTCTGCTTATTATTATTTTATCCATCATTTCTTGTATTTTTAACTGTAGCTATGTATATTATATTCATTTAAAGATGGAATAGCCTTTCAAAAACTTTTAATAAAAAATGGATTTGAAATTTATTTTTTAAACTATCAATTATAAAGTTTCATGTGTATTTATTTATATTAATCTCTAGCATTCAAAAATAATTTACTATAATAAGTATGATTCATTAAATTAGTATTCCAACAATAGAATACAATATTTATTGTTAATTCTTAAATTTATTTGCTTTATTTATTTATGAAGAACTTATTTGCTAAAAACTTTTTATGAAGAATTTTGGTTCAAATGAAATTTGAAAAAATTACACTTTTGTTAAAATTTCAAACAATATAAAATTGAAAAAGTATGTTGCTTTATAATTTTAATTTATAAATTTAAAATACAAAATAATCAGATTAAGTGTATAAAAACTTACATCTAATTGTGACAAAGAAGTAATCATACCCTCAGGAACACATTTTTCCCAACATTCAAAAAATTCTTCTAAATTAAACTATAAATAATAATAATTATTATAAATTAAAAATTTAAAAAGATTTATGTGAAAATAATTTTTATATAATAAAAATTGAAAATATAAAACAATTAATATCAATAGAAATGTGTCAAAACCTGGAAATTGCAAATTAAATCAAATTATGTAATATTACACTTTTTCAAGCTCTTTTTACAAAAGAAATATAATTAATCAGAAATGTAATCCACAGAGATAAATCTATTTATAGATGATCTTATCTCTAAATCAGTGTTCTGCAACCAGTGTGCCGTCACAAGGTAAAAGGTGTAACGTGAACTTTTACATATTCTATTAATTGTCAAGTTTTATTTATATATTTTTATCACAGTTGCTGTGTTGTATTTCATTCTCTGCCGCAGCACTAAGGGAATAAGATGATGTTTGTTTATTCTTTATTACAAGCCACGCATTTTTATGTATTCTAAGAAATTAAATGTAAAATAAATTTTTCTCACAGGTGTTGATGTCTGTTTAATATTGATAATAATAATAATAATAATAATAATAACTCTCCCGTNATTTTGACAAAAAAAAAATAATAATAAATAAATAATAATAAAAAGGGCATCTTTTTAAAAAGTTTGAGAACCACTGCATTATATTGACCATTGTAGTTACTATTATTGTGTGGCATTCAACAAAACAAATAAGCCTAATATGAATAACCTCAATGTAAGACTCCGCATTGATTTGAGGAATGATGGTCTGACCCAAAGTATTTACAAATTATAAGTGTCAGAATTGGTTCTGGATAAAACCAGTCATAAAAATTTGAGGATCTGACCTATGAATCAAAACATGGGTCACTCTGGATCGCAGACTAACGCCTTTACTATCTCAACTGTCCTGCCAGCCAAGTTATTTATAATAATCATAAACATAATTTTTAGATCAAAACTACTTCACTTTTGGATCTAGCAATAAATATTTTACTCTCAATTTTTTTTAAAAATGTTTACTTTAATAAAAATTGAATGAAGAGCATCTCAAAAATTTTAATCAATTTTAACAAAACTCTTAGCTCAATAGCCATTAAAACCAGTAAAACAAACACTTACTTGAAAAGCAAACATTTTCTTCCATCTTTAAAAGATCATCATCAGGCTGGTTGTTCTAATATATATAACTGCTTGATTTTCAAACAGATCATGAATTCTACATTGCATATATAATCTTGCAGCGATTGAAAGTTTTATGTTAGATGGATACATAGTAAATTTTGGTAACAAAACAATTGAAAAAGACAAATCAGTTTTTGGTTGAAAGCTTCTTTGATACCTGTTAATACTGATGGAATAGGTAACAATGGAATGTTAGAAATTTATATAAAAATTAAACCCTTTTTGTAATATTTTTAAAATCTATTTTCAATTATGAAAGTATCAAAATTCTTAATATGCATACATTACATATGACTTACAATGCATTTTTATAAAATAATATATTTTAAATCATTGTACAAATTTTTTGGTACAGTAGGCCGCAGTTAAATCTTATCTAAGAAAGATACAGTATAATCAAGAAGACTCAAGCAGCTAAAGGAGTAACAAGGAGTGTTCTTTATTTCTCAGATGTAATTTTTGTTAAATTACATCTGAGAAATAAAGAACATTGAAGAACTCATAATGGAACCTAAAACGGATCTGACGACAGAAGAACAAGAACTCTTGAATGAAGAACACCAATAAACTCTCCAAGATGTTTTCTTCTAAAAAAGAAGATTAATGCCGATAACTGCTATTTAAAAAGTATAATCTTTTGAAGAAGTGGGAGGATGTCAGAACAACAGTCTTAGAATCGCATCCAAACCAGGGTGAGGTTGTGATTCAGGCTTGGAAATTTCTACAATTACAATGCTATTAATTACTTCTGAAAAATCTTGAAGAAGAGAGAAAAGCAATCGACATTAGACAGATTCTTTAATCCCCAACAAACGGAAAAAACATGACTAATAAAAATGCAAGACTGTGAATATATGTATTTTTATTATTACATAGAAATAAACGTAGTAAGAAAGTATATATTTTGTGGTCTCCAAAATGAATTAATCAAATTCTCATAAAAACCTATGGTAAATTGATAATCAATTCATGAAAAAAGTCTTGAAATGGATTATGTTCGTTAACTGATCACCCACTGTGTAATATTTCCACCTATCAGCAGTGGCAATGTACTTAGAATTCATCATTTGTTTGAAAATCAAGCAGTTCCATATCAGAACAACCAACCTGATGATGTCCTTTTAAAAATGGACGAAATGTTTGTTTTGCTGGTTTCATTGGTTATTGAGCTAGAAGTTTTGTTAAAATTAACTAGTAATTTGTTGTCTTTTAATCATTTCTGTAATGATAATGATTGTGGTTAGCTAATAAAACAATACTAACATCATGTTTGATGTTAGATGTATTAATATTAGAAAGTTCCCATCATTTTATTTTACCCATAAAACATTTCCAGTAATTTCCTATTTTATATTTATAAAATTAAACTTTTATCCAAACAAAACAATATGTTTAATTCAAAAAATGTAACGAATTTAGAATTGTTTTACATGGGCAGGAAATAAGAAACAATAATGACAAACAGTTTCCAAATTAAGAGTGGTTACTTGTAAATTTTTTGGTACAAATGCTGTGTTGACCATCAGTTAGACCAGGGGTGGCCAACAGTTTTTGCCTCCGGGCCGAATTGGAAAGAAAACTTTTTCCACGGGCCGAACCAGAGGCCGTCCTAAGAAGATTTTGAGGTGGTGCGAGATCTCATTGTGGTGTCATCCCGTAGAGACTGAATTGTAGATAGAGATTACAGATACATTTTTCACATTATCATGCTTTATCAACATTCTATGCTGTACTTACAATATTTGTAATGGAGGGTTACCTCTAAACGCATAGTGAGTTCTTGACCTTTTTTATTTTTTAGGCATCAGATTTTTCATTGAGCTATTCGGACTTGAGTAGCTAATATTGAAAGATTGATCGCAGGCCACATAAATTCAATACACGGGCCGGATCCAGCCCGCAGGCCCTATGTTGGTCATGCCTGAGTTAGACCTTATCAGGCTATAGGCTATGCCCAAAGGAGTACAAACAGTCAAAGAAACCAATGGTCTATACATGATCTTTTGTGAGATATAGTCTCTGAACCAATCTGTTCATTAAACAAGCCACAGGCTTTAACAGAGCGCACAGCACGACTAAAATCAAGCCTCAGTAGTAGTCGACATTTCTCATGTTTTACAATTTTCTTTTCAAATGTTCTTTTAGCAGTCTGTAATAAAGTGGAGAAATAGTTCTAGATTTTTCCACTTTAAATTTTTATCCCATGCATGTCTCGAAATTCCAGATAGGCTGATTTTGGGGTTATATCTTGCAGTAGCCCATCAGTTCCTTTGACTTTTTGTACTCCTATGGACACAGTCTACAGTTCCGATAAGATCCAACCACCTCATTCAGAGCTGCACTTTTATCTGTGATAATACAATATATTTGTAATGTAAACAAGTTATGTATAAAACAATTACTGATATTAAAAATAACAAACATAATTTTAAACATTCAATTTTACGAAAGTAAAATAGGAAATTACCAATAATTCCAATTGATGATGTAAACAAATATGAACAGTTTTTTTAAGAAAGATCCTACAATTAGTTCTGATGATAAATATTTTTTTAGAATATATAATAACGAAGCAACGAAATGTGACTCTTACGTAATTGAATTTACGGTAAACCACATATATAAATGAATGAAACAATATAAAATTCATTAAATTTACGTCACGTAATCAAAATAATTTGAAACTCACTTCTTCGACAACAGGATCATCATCTTCCATGCTGTACTTCTCTACAACTGCCAAACGTCAGTGTTGCCAACCTCTCAATAATATATTAATTTATGAAATAAATAAATACTTTATATAAAGGTATCTTATAAACACGCCTAAATTATTTCTCAATAATGTTTTGTAAATAAAAATAAAATAATATAAATTTAAAGTCTTTAAGAAAATAAATAAAAAAATTAAAAATAAATACGCTAATATGGTGATGACCGGATGGCCGAGTGACAATATTGAATTTCTCAAAAATTTAATTTATAATTGTTAACATTTAAAAAGAAAAAAAACACATTCGGTCGTCTGACCAACGTCAGAAAAATTCCTGGGGATTTTTCCACCCGTCTGGTTTCGATCCCGGGTCCCCAGCGATGGGGGCTACCACCTTACCGCTCGGCCATCAGGCCTTCATTTTAAGCTATTATCAATAATAAGAATGGCTAAAACATATGGCGAATCAACACAAATGTTTGATATAACACAATACTAACTTTTGTTCATTTTGTAATAATGTCCAATTGCTTTTTCCCGGATCCTTATTTTGTAATGTGATACAATGTCTTGGAAATTTGTAATTGTCCCATCTTCTTTGTATTTTTTACATTCCAAATAATTTTGTTTTATTACTTCATGAAGATTTCTCTCTTCTACGTCTGCTAGTCTAACATGTATTCGTCGTACTACTTAAATATTTCAGTAAATTCGGAAAAATAGTTGAAATGGCTCTTCCATATAATTTTGAAATTTTTCTGGGAAATTCTTTTAGTCGACCATTTACCAGGCATTTGTCAGTTCTAGTAATGTTTGACTCATGAAAACGTTTTATACATATTTACAGCATATTTTTAATGCTGTTAAATCTGTGGGAATTTTTCGGAGCCAAACACTTCTCGTTTGCTCTTTTGGCAAAGAAAAGGTAGAAAAAGTCCTTTTCACTTCTATAATTTCTTTTATAGCCATAACACTAAATCTCGTCATTTTGAAAAATTTTCTATATTCTGTGAAACAGTATACATCCAATAATTATGACTTTATAATTAATTTTACTTTTAAATATATGGTACACATATATATACATTAATCTTTGAATAGCTGTTTTTAGTTCATCAAATGAGAAAGGATCATCCAAAAGAAAAGAAGAATTATCATAATCCATAGTCGGCAAAACTATTAAAATTCAATTTTAAAGAACTTATCCATTTGTCAGTAGAAATCTAAACTCTCTCCAGTCCGCTTGATTTATAATTTTCCAAAAATCTCTTGTTTTGCAACCGCTTAATTATAATTCAATATTGTCACGGCTGTATTAATTATGCAGATGTTAATGAACTGTTATAAAATACCATTTATTAAATTAAAATTATTTTAGTTATTTTGATTATTAAGTGTTCGTTATTACCTTTTTTTTTTTCTTGTAGTTTTAAATAAGTGTTTGAATTGGATTTTTAGAACAATGGAATCGGATGAAAAACATTTCTAAACTTTTAGGCCTTTAGGAAAGCGGCGCTGAACGGCCGACGTACACGTTTTCGCGTCGAAAACGTCGGCCGCAACCTCTCTATTAACTGTAGTTAAACTATTTTTAAGGTAATTTTATGTTGATTTATTTTGTTTCAGTTGTCATTCGAGTAAATTGGCGCATATTTTGATTTGTTTTGCATTTCGGATCATTTGATTTGGCTTTATTTTTTTCCCTTTAAATGTATGTTTGAGCCTAATAAATATTGGGAGACTATCCGCTGTTTCGACGTGATAATTAATTTTTCTTCTGTTTTTAGGTGGGTGTAGTTATTTTTTATACAATTTGTTTCTTATTTTTTTTTGGATAATTTTCCCTACAATTTTGATTATGTTGTTATTTTATTTAAAATATTATTACTTATTTTTGTAAAATTTGTATTATATTTATGTGTATATTCTGTTTTTCCCCTTGTAATAATTCATTAATTACAGTATTATTGTAGTTTTTACTGTGTTTTGTAATGATTATTTGTATGTTTGTATTCCCCGCATCATGGATGAAACTATTATGCTTAAAATAAATAAATAAATAAAAATAAAAAATAAAAATAATAATTTTGATTGCTTAACGAAACAATTTCTGATTTTTCTCCAGTTTATTAAAATTTTATAAAGTTCGGGAAATTTCTTAATTAAGAGATAAAAATTTATATATAAATATATAGGCCTACTTATGTACGTGAATTATACTGGATTTGTTAATTAATAATAAATAATGGCTTTTTATTTTTATTATTTTTTTTTCAAAGCCACATAGAATTAGGGTTGTGGATTAAAACAGAAATTTGAGTAGGAACCCTGTATATAGTTAATTAATCTGGGACTCCCGCCCCTTTAATTATCTTAATGTTAATGAAGACAAAATTTATTACTTTAAATAAATAAATTATAAGTAAAAAATAAACAAATTTTTTAAATAAAATTTTAACGAGTTTCTTTTTACGATTTTGGAAAAAGCATATTTATAACGAGGTATTTAGTAAACGTTTAATAAACTCATATTTAGTTGAAGTCTTTGCAGATATATAATTTGAAATTTTATATGAAAATAGAAATACAGTACAACCTGCTTAAGGCGACCACCCTTAGGATCAAGATAAATAGTATGATTAATTAATACTTTGTAGACAAGGAAATTATTTCTCATGTTTCAATTTTTAGAACATTTACGGTATTTAATGTTCTTAGTGAAATGTGGGTTGAATTTAGTTTTTCACGGTAGCTGTTGTAATAAAAGTTTAGAAATGGTGTTCTATGGTGCAAATAGCAATTTCTGCTAATGGAAAGTACTACAATATGTGGGAAACAGATGTTGACCTGCGGGTAGAATTTTTTTCTTGTCGACGCAATTTCGTAATATTTCGTTTATCTGACGCCATTTTAAAAGTGGTCACCCACCTGGCGTCATAGGACGATAGTTATATTAAATATGCGTGTTTAGTTAAGTAAACGCTAATTAATCGGATCTAACAGTGGTCACTATACAGAGAAAAAGTATCCCTAAAAATCTGTTGAGTACATTTTATACCTGTTAAAATTGGTCATTATAGGAAGGTGGCCATGTTACACTATATATATATTCAGTAAAATCATTTGGATACAAGTAAATGATTAATTACAAGAATTCAAATTCAGATTTTAATATCAAAAGTAAATTGTTACCAGAGCCTCTTTGGCCATCGACCATTGCGACCGATGTTATCGCTTCCCGGGACGTGGACCCAGAGGTTGGATTTTGGGAAGCATGTTTGTGTTGTGAAACGTGTTCTTTATAGTGCACGTGAATGGAATCGTTGGTGATTGGGTGCGACGAACGTGTGGTTGTTTGAACTGTGTTTTAGCGTGACGGATGTTGTTTCTTTGCGTGGATGTGAATTATTAAACTAACGTAAGTACGACAAGAGGAAAAAATAAATAAAACACCTCTTGCCGCCTTACATCTAGGTTAGTAAATTAAATTTAAGGTTTCAGTTTCAATATTAGTACGTCAAGAGGAAAAAATAAATAAAAAATAAAAAACCCCTGGCCTTCTTATCTTACATTAGTAAATTTAAACTTAAACCTTAAATTTAAATGTAACTTCAGAAATAGCAAAGGAAAAAGTCGTTCACATCTCTTGCGAAGCAACGCTTTCTCCTTTGCATCCTTGCCCACACCGAACGAGAGGATCACACTCGTTGGAAAAGGGAGGAATGTTTCGATCCCTCCCAGTGTGGCAAAGATGATGTCGTCAGCATGGAGACATTTCACTTTTCGGAACACGTCCGAATGGCAAAATGCCTCCTCTCTTTTCAACGCGAAACAGAGAATGCTGTCGACACCTGCTATTTCCGAAAGTGATCCCGTGAAGAAAGAACCCCTTCCGCGATCGATGGAAGAGAGTTCCTCTCCCGCTCAAAGGGGGAAAAGACCCTCTCTTCATCGATTGCGGAAGGAGAACGCCCTTCACACTTCTTCATCTTCTTGAGCGGCAGCCAACGCCAGAACCGCCAGTTCTTCGTTCTGTAAAGAAAC